TATATCCAAAATAATTTAGACATCAGTCACAAAAATATAAAACCATCTATGTTCACCAAGAGAGAGAACAACTGGATAACCACATTAGGTACAAGGACTTTATATCAGATATCATGTTGACACTTTTGTTTTTATTGGATGTGATCAGATGTGAGACCAACATGTGGAATTGTTGTTGCATCTATATAACAAGGAGCAATCTGAAAGGCCATTACATTTGTATTTTTAATGTTTTAATGTGACAAGCAGGAAAACTAACACAGGCTGTTGTGACATAAATCAGCCAGTGAAGGAACGTAAGGTTTACATTATCCGTGCCCACAACATGAAACCTGTGTTGCAGAGTACGTCTTTGTTTTCATTCTAGACGCTGTGTGGCGTAAAATCATTATACTGTACCCACCCTCCTTCTATCTGCCACTATGAGCAAACACTGACTAAGTTTGACTGGACTTTTCTAAATCCAGAAACTACAGGGTACAGCTACATCCCTTGTGAGCCTGCAGCACAGCAGACAGCCAAGAAGCCACATGGTGGAAGACAGGAGACGCTGCTGATGGCTCAACAAGGCACCGCTTCAGAGGAAACATGGCCAGTGGTGCAGAAAGGAGCTGTTTAATTGGCAAAGTTTGAATGCACAAACACTAATTAGCCAAGAACACTTTCGGCTTCCCAACATCATCCTGAAACCTCGGCTGACATTTTGCACTCTGCAGGGTGTTCAGTGGGTGTGCAGACTGCCACAGCTCCCAGAATAGAAAATGCATTTGGCTTGTTAGTATTTGTGGGCAATACATGGTGAATTATCATTAAACTGAGCTCAGGCTGCATTGAAAGTACAAAGTATTAGGGATGCCTTTCTGGTGCTTTTGCACAGTCCACATCTCAGGTGGCTTAAGCTTAAGAATCCAGTAGGTCCTCTGCTGCTCTGTCTTCACATTGTCTGTTTAATGGTATGGACATAAAAAGGGCAATCAACAAGGATTTTTGTTCATCAGCTGGTGTGGAATACACATCCCTTATGTTTTATTAATTCAGTGTAGCATCACTATCCATGTAAAGCACCGCTAGCATGTGTAAATGCAGTTGTTTGTGCTTAAATATGTAGATGCAAAAAGGATGATGACCACCTGTCCTTTCATGTCAATTATGCAGTGTGCAGCGTTATACGCTCACATTGTGGCAATAATTGCCTACATGTGAACCCTCTCATGTGTAATAATTCTATTATTCATACCGCCATTATATCTGGAAATGAGCAAAGCAGAACACTCGGGCCTGTGTTTAATATTTAAATGGGAAAACAACAGGATGAATGAATTCTTTGCACTTTATATGACTGCTCTGATCCAAAGTGACTAATAAAAACTTAAATACAGGCTTTTTGACCATTTTTTAAAAAGTGCACTGCAAAGTGTGTGTTAAGCCTCTTTGTAGAAGTTGTAAGTGAGTGAACTAAATAAAATTTACTGTATGTTCAGAAAAATGACAGTGTCTTCTTCCCAAGGAGCTGGGTGGGAATAACTGCAGCCATGTAAATGCTTCATGTTTGAAAAGCTGTGGGAAAAGGAGAGAGGATTTATAGTTGAGATTAGTGTGCACCATAACGACAGAAATGACCCATTAATTTTACATCTAACTCGCATATTAGGGGAGCAGTGCTACTAACATTTAACTAAAAGTTGCAGTGCTGGACAAGGTAGATCTCATAGAGATATAATACAAAGCATTTAATGGGGCCTAAGGGCAGAAAGAAAAGTTCCAAGTACAATTCTGTCAATAAAACTCATTATTACAGTAATTAAATAATTTGGTGGCAATCAGTATTGTAATTTAAGGTTGATGGTACAGTCTAGTTAAACCCTCCTCAGCTTAAAATGCACTTACTTGTTCTGCTCCGATCAAAAGTTGCAGATTTGGTTTGATAATGAACAGGGATGTAATCATGCTCATCTTGACAAACAGGCCTGCAGATTAAAATCAACATGTGCGAGAAGCATTTCTTGAGTATTACGGAGATCTCCTGGAAGAGCTGTAATCTGTTTTTCAAGCTTTACTCAGTTAAAGGCACATTAGAAATCACAGTCAACCCAAGCAAACAGGGGTTTTATTTAATCTTGTGAGTGTGGATTTCCTCATTTCTTCATGTGTTTCTGCTTCATATTACACCCTGCTCTCTTATTTTCCCTTGCTCTCATTCTCCCTGTGACTCATGCATCACCATTCAGCTCCTTTTTGGCTGTCAGATTTTCTACAGTTTCACTGTGACTCTAATCCAATTCAGAACCAAATCCCAAAACGCTCAACCCTGCAGGCTGCCCTTCTCAGTGACCCTCCTCACTGTTACCATTTACCCAGAATTCTGAGGACTCTTGTATGTTTTCCATCTGGCCCGTGACACATTTGGCTCCAGGTGTTTCTAAAAATATTGCCAGGCTTGAAGAGAGTGAGGAAATGGTCATTCCTGTACTGTATGTGTGTCACTTAGATCAGACTCAGTCAGGTTATCATGACAGTCTTGTGCTGTGCATAATTGCAAGTGTGTAAATTCTTCATATATTTGTAATAATATCTCTCTCATTTACTGTAATTTCCAGCAGACATGGGCCTATTATTCATTTGAAGTTGTGTCTCAGTGCACACATACAAATACAAGTCCAACATTCACTCTTCTTTGGTTGTTTTTTGGTTTCTGGCTTGTTAGCAGCTAAATGCTCCACTCTGCTCAGCTAACTGCTAACTTTGACAGCCTGTTGTTTGGAGCATAGAAGGAAGCATCATCATTTACCAAGATTGTTTCACTGCTACACTATCCTGCTGTGGCTGGAAACAGTATTGATGAGTAGTAACAATTTTATTGGCAAGCAAAACAGTAAAACTTTGGAATGTAAAACTAAAACACTGGGTTGAAAGACACTAAAATGCTAGCTCAGTTTTCTCTCCAAAACTGCAGGGAAAAATAGTTTCTCTTTAGTTGCTATGTTCACTAGCTTGTCAATAACTTTGACCGTCTGCTGATTAGTGCTAGCAAGAGAGCGTACATAAACAGCTGGAAACAGAGTGGTGACAATTTTGTTGTGCACCAAAACAGTAACATTTTAAAAGATGCCAAAGTGCCTTTTAGCATTAAGGGGAACTGCAGAGTTGGGTGATAATTTTCTGATGATTCCTCCGTTTGACCGGCACCTTTCACATTACACCTAGCCATGTTTTCCACTTATACATGATTAATGTCACATGTTTGACTGACTGTAAAAGTCCTATTAACTGTGATAATGTGATTTAATGATTTCAGATCCATTTGATTGCAGAGGACACACTTGGTATTCTTCCAAAGCTACTTGTTTCTTTAATTTGGGACCACATTACCCATGAGCCAGCAACTTCCTGTATTAATCCTTAGTGCTCATGTTGCCTATTGATATATTAAGGAAAACTTTAAAATGGCTGCCTGTCACTTGAATGAAATGAATGAATGAAATTTACCCACCTGGCACATGGCCCAAACAAGGTTTTCAGGTGTCCAGGTTTGTTTCCACGTTGTGCACCCCACTGCATATACACATTAATGTTTCCCTCCGCTGTCCCCACCCTTGTGCTTGCCGTAAACTTGACACTGTGACGCTGTCACAAAAACTAACCAAATGTTTCTAGGCTCAGGGAAAGTTTTACAAATGTAAACTATCCATACAGTAAAAACTTGTGGAGTGATCACTGACCTGGTTTGCAGTTCGAGGTGTCTTGTCAACCATTTTACAGACATATCTTTTATTACTGTAGTCTGGGAAGGAAAATGCTTTTTTGGGCCACAGGGGACTTATTTGTTACAATACCATGAGTGGTAAAATTGTGGGAAAAACTGGCTGGATGGCAGAGTGGTGGCACTATATCCAGCTCTCATAATAATTCCATGATTTTACTCCATCTGCCTTTCACTCTTT